TTGAGTGTGACTGCCACAGAGGGGAAGTCTGGATGAAAGGCTGCCCCGGAAGTGATGGATGATGGAGGGAGGTTGGGACCCTGACTGAGATGGAATCAGGCACAGCCAAGAGGTCCTGGGAGACTCCTTGGTGGGAACTGTCTGTTCTCTGAGCCATGCTGTCAGAGGGGCCCTGCCTTAGCCAGCTGAGGAGGCCCAGTCACCCTGGAGCTCAGTTTCTTCTGCTCCTTTCACATCTGTGGTCATTGTGCTCTCACAGAGTCTTCCCTCAATGGCCGCCATTTCCCATCTCAGGCCTTGGGCTTAGCCTGGAGTTTTTAATATTTGCAGGCCACACTGCCCTCCTCCCTATTTGTCAAACCTGTGTTCTCAGGTACACATTTATTCCTTGAAATGCCCCCACAACCAGTGATAAGGTCTTTGGGTTCCTATACACACACACACACACACGTATACATATATACACACGTATACATATATACACATTCTTCTTCTTTTCTTCTTCTTATTATTATTTTTGAGACAGAGTCTCTCTCTGTCGCCCAGGCTGGAGTGCAGTGGCGCGATCTCCATTCATTGCAAGTTCCGCCTCCCGGGTTCACGCCATTCTCCTGCCTCAGCCTCCCGTGTAGCTGGGACTATAGGCGCCCACCACCACGCCCGGCTAATTTTTGTGTTTTTAGTAGAGACGGGGTTTCACCATGTTAGCCAGGATGGTCTCGATCTCCTGACCTCGTGATCCGCCCGTCTCAGCCTCCCAAAGTGCTGGGATTACAGGCGTGAGCCACTGCGCCTGGCCTATTATTATTTTTTTGAGACGGAGTTTCACTCTTGTTGCCCAGGTCAAAGTGCAGTGGCGTGATCTCGACTCACTGCAATATCTGCCTTCCGGGTTCAAGCTATTCTCCTGCCTCAGCCTCCCGAGTAGCTGGGATTATAGGCGCCTGCCACCACGCCTGGCTAATTTTTGTACTTTTAGTAGAGACAGGGTTTTGCCACTTTGACTAGGTTGGAACTCCTGACCTCAGGTGATCTGCCCACCTCAGCCTCCCAAAGTGCTGAGATTACATGCATGAGCCACCACACCAGGCCCTTTTTTCTTTTTTTTTTGAGACGGAGTGCAGTGGTGCGATCTTGGCTCACTACAACCTCTGCCTCCTGGGTTTGAGGGATTCTCCTGCTTCAGTCTCCCAAGTAGCTGGGACTACAGGCGCCCGCCACCACACCCAGCAAATTTTTGTATATATATATGTGTGTGTGTATATATATACACATATATGTATATATGTATATATATGTATATATGTATGTGTTTATATGTGTGTGTGTGTATATATATATATATATATTTTTAAGATGTAGTCTTGCTCTTATCGCCCAGGCTGGAGTGCAGTGGCACAATTTCGGCTCACTGCAACCTCCGCCTCCCGGGTTCAAGCTATTCTCCTGCCTCAGCCTCCAGAGTAGCTGGGATTACAGGTGCCTGCCACCACGCCCAGGTATTGGCCAGGCTGGTCTTGAACTCCTGACCTCAGGTGATCCACCTGTCTCAGCTTCCCAAAGTGCTAGGATTACAGGCATGAGCCCCCACACTCAGTCAATTTTTGTATTTTTAGTAGAGACAGGGTTTCACCATGTTGGCCAGGGTGGTCTTGAACTCCTGACCTCAGATGATCTGAATGCCTAAGCCTCCCAAAGTGCTGAAATTATGAGATTACAGACATGAGCCACCACACCCGGCCTTGTCATAAGATTTTTAGAGAGAAAAGGAAAATAACCCTTGAAGCTGCAGCTCTCACCTCCCTTGGCTGCCTGAGAGAGGTCAGGGTCTGGGTTTCTCCTTCCTATGTTCATCCTAGCCTATTGGGCAGGCTCTTCCACCCCCATTTTGCCCTAATCCTCCAGGCCCCATCCCTTGGGGTTGAGACTTTCTCTAAAGCCACTCGCGTCCTCTCCTTCCTATCCTGAATCTGTCCCTTTCTGCCCTTCACTGCTGTCAGGGCAGCTATTGTTTCCTGCTAGGACTCCTGCGTTTGCCACCCCACTAGGTGCACTGTCTTTCCTACAGCCCCTTAAACATACTAATGGGGCTAATGGGACATGGCTTCCCCACCTCAACGCACTGCAATCTTGCCACTCAGCCCAAGGTTCATGCATTTGTCTTGCCCAAGGGAGGGCCATCCTCCCTCCCTAGAGACCTCATGCATGCCTTCCCACCTACCCTTATGCTCTTCCCAAAACAGCCCAGTGAAAGCAGACCCCGTGGGTCCAGCAGGCCATGGTTTGAGTCTAAACAAAGACAATGATGATGGCAGGTTATTAGACTTGTGTTTTCTGTTTGTTTGTTTTGTTTTGTTTTGAGACAGATTTTCACTCTTGTTGCCCAGGCTGGAGTGCAATGGTGCAATCTCAGCTCACTACAACCTCCACCTCCAGGGTTCAAGAGATTCTCCTGCCTCAGCCTCCCTAGTAGCTGGAATTATGGGCGCCTGCCACCACACCCAGCTAATTTTTAGTATTTTTAGTAGAGACAGGCTGGGCACAGTGGCTCATGCCTGTAATCCCAGCACTTTCGGAGGCCAAGGCAGGCAGATCACCTGAGGTCAGGAGTTTGAGACCAGCCTGGCGAACATGGTGAAACCCCGTCTCTACTAAAAATATAAAAATTAGCCAGGCATGGTGGTAGATGCCTGTAATCCCAGCTACTCAGGAGGCTGAGGCAGGACAATCGCTTGAACCAGGGAGGCGGAGGTTGCAGTGAGCCAAGATTGCACCATTGCGCTCCAGCCTGGGGGACAAGAGCGAGACTTCGTTTAAAAAAAAAAAAAAGTAGAGATGGGGTTTCACCATGTTGGCCAGGCTGGTCTCGAACTCCTGACCTCGGGTAATCCATCCACTTTGGCCTCCCAAAGTGCTGGGATTACAGGTGTGAGCCACCGTGCCCAGCCTAGACTTGTGTTTTAATGGGGTTTCCCACCTGGCACATATTTTCCACTCCCGACCTCCTGACCTCCAAATACCACATCTACAACACAGCCACCCAGTAGCTGCCCTGGGTGAAGGACAGGCATCCTGACCTTGTCTGTATTCTAGAGGCTTTGTTCTAGTCATACATTTGGACAGTGGGTTCCCGCTTTCACTTTGGAGTCACTCTGTCCTCTGGGATAAGGGAAGTGAGAACTGCTCCCTGAGGAATGAGATCATGAAGGGGCCTGGTAACGGCTGGGAAGGCACAGAAATAAAGCTTTCGGGAGGGAAATGTGAGGAATGCATTCATCAGATGGGAAACAAATAGTGGCATTTATCGGACTCTCACTGTGTGGAGGCCCTGGGTCTCACCAGATGTATTTGTTTTCTACCGTTACTGTAACAAATTACCAGAAACTTCATAGGTCAAAACAATATCCATTTATTAGCTCACCATTCCATAGGTCAGAAGCCCAAGTAGGTCTTCTGTGGGTCTCATAAAGGCTGAAATCAAGGTGTGGTATGGACTGAGTTGCTGTCTGGAGGCTCTGGGGAAGAATTTGATTCCAAGCTCATTCAGGTTGTGGGCAGAATCTAGCTCCATGCACTTCTAGGGCTGAAGTCCGTTTTCTTTTCTTTCTTTCTTTTTTTGAGACGAGTCTCCTTCTGTCGCCCAGGCTGGAGTGCAGTGGCACGATCTTGGCTCACTGCAAGCTCCGCCTCCTGGGTTCATGCCGTTCTCCTGCCTCAGCCTCCTAAGTAGCTGGGACTACAGGCGCCCGCCACCACGCCCGGCGAATTTTTTGTATTTTTAGTAGAGACGGGGTTTCACCGTGTTAGCCAGGATGGTATCGATCTCCTGACCTCGTGATCTGCCCTCCTTGGCCTCCCAAAGTCCTGGGATTACAGGCCTGAGCCACTGCCTCCGGCCATGAGGTCTGTCTTCTTACTGCCTGTTGTTGCAGCTCTTCTCAGATTCTCAGCCTGACACTTGTCCCTCTCATGGACAAAACTCTTCTCCTACTTCAAGTTTCTCCACCTTCCTCTTCTGCCTTTAAGGATCCTTATGATTACCTTGGACCTACCAAAATAATCCAGAATCATATTCTATTTTAAGATCAGCTAATGAGTAACCTTAGTTATGTCTGCAAAAACCCTTTCACCATGTAGTGTAACTATTCATAGGTGAGATTATCATATTTACAGGTTCTGGAGATTTAGGCACGGAATCTTGGAGGTGGCCATTTTCAGAATTCTGTTCCCCATAACAGATCGACTTGCAACGTCCCAGAATCTCACAGAGTCTAGCTCAGGAGAGGCCCAGAGCAGGGTGAGGCAGTTGTCTGTTCCTGTCTGCGTTGTAGTAGAAGGTGCCAAGGCCGAGATGGAGTCCGCTCCCCAATCCCACCCACAGCGGGCGGGCCTGGAGTAGGGGTAGCTCGCCTGCGCCTCCTGGCGGCCAGGGACCGAGACCTACTTCAGCTCTCACCCGTGTCACAGGAATAAGGCCACTTTCCCAGTTCGCAGTGGGGTTTAAACTGGCCAGAACAGGTTGGTGACTTGGGCCGGGAACTGCCTTCCCATTCTCCATCACACGGCGCCTGCGGATTGATCGCGCAGGCCCCGCCACACCCCTGATCTCCTGGGCGACGCCGGAAGAGTGCTCTGGTCCAGAGATTCCTCGCAACGCGGCAGCCCTAGCCTCTTCGACTTTGGTTCCGACTGAGAGCCGCAGTCTGACGGCAGCTGATCGCCATAAAAATACCGGAAATGTGCTTCGGTAGGGTTTCCCCTGCGCCGCCGCGACCACGGGCTTTGGTTCCGCCGGCATAGGGGCCCGGAAGTGCGGCCTTGTAGTCCGTGAGAAGGAGGCGGCCACAGTAGAGCCTGGTGCCTGAAGAGGAGTCGGAGGTGGGGTCGGATGGGCATCCCCCTGCCGCAGGGCGGGCGAGGAGGCTGGGGCGTACCAGGGGAGGGGCACCTGCGCTCCGCTAGAAGCGCACGCTGCGAACGCGAGGGGGCGCTGCAGGACCGGGGTACGGCGCGGGCCAGGGTGCGGGGTGGCCGCGGCGGTTCAGAGGGGTGCTTTGGGCTTAGGGTGGTGCGCGGGCAATGGAGCAGAGATTGGGAGAACGCGCTCGGGGTAAAGCACACGGCGCGGCGAAGGCGTGGCGGGAGTGTGCGGCGCCGGACCCAGGAAGCTGGCCTGGGCGCCGGGTCTCGAAGGCTGGCCTTTGTTCTGAAGTGTCCAGATCGGCTTTGCGGCGTCGGGACTGAGGAATGGAGCCCGCTGCGGGGCGGGGCGGGGCGGGGCAGGGCGGGAAAGGAAGGTTCAAGTCTCTGGGGTTGATGCGTCCCTATCGGCCGGACACAGATTAGAAGCCTTTCAGGTGCTAGGTGAATACAGATGGGGCGGGTGCTGCATGCTGAGTTAGCCTTTGCACGGGCACAGGCCTGGCTTTTTTGAGGCTCCGAGTGGGGCCGGGGGGCGGGGTGGTGTATCTGGATCTGTAGTCTGGAAAGGCTCCCTCTGGCGGCCATGTGGGGAACAGACGGGGAGGCCAGGGGCGTGGAGAGACCAGCCAGGTTTCTTCATCCGTCCAGGACAGCGGGAACGGGGCAGTGGAGGTGCTCGAAGTAGTCTGAGGGTCAAATGTTGGGCATGCAAGAAAGGGAGGCGTCTGGCTGAGCAAAGGGACGGCGGATTGGGCATAAGGAGTTGGAGGGGTTGAATCTTGAGACCCCAGTAGAGCCCGAGGGTGTAGGGGCAGCATCAAGCCGAGCCCACTCTGAGACACAGGCTGGTGGAGGCTATACGGATGTCAGAGTCCAGAGCTCCTACCCTCCTCCCTTAGACTGGAGGTGTGTGCAGTATGGGTGCAGGATGAGCTGAGTATCTCATCCCTTGTTTGACAGAAGGGGAAACAGGCCGAAGGATCACGGTTTACCTGCTTGATGGACGGAGTAGCAGAACTCCTCACATTCCAGAGTCCTCTGGGCACTACTCTCTCCCCTTTCTGGTACCTGATGTTGGGCCTTGTCCGGCTTGCTCAGTGGGCACCTATCCAGTCACACACCCCTGCTCATTCCACACTTCCCCTCTCTGTGCCACACCCACACCCTGGGCCCCACAGGCCCCATCGAGATGGCAAGAAGCTGGGGCTGCAGGAGGCACTTCCCTGCCTGCTATGCTAGGGGCTGCCAGGGACCATGTACTGGTTTCCCTGGGGCATCTCCCAAGGTAATGCCCAACCTTTTACCCTCAGCCCTTAGTGACCAGGCACACCGAGAACCATGCTGCCCAGGAAGCAGGTCATGCCATCCCACTCCTGCGAAAGCCTCTGTATATACTAGTTAAGGTGACCTGGTTCTGAGGCAGCAATCCTGCCTCTGCACAGGGTCTCATACTGGGGGGATGTGGCTAAAGGAAACCAAAAGGAGCTGCCAGCAGGGGTGGAGGAGAAACTAGCTGGGTAGTGAGCAAGGTCTGCTCTGGGTGAGGCAGGTTAGCCAGTTGGGATGGGGGTCCTTGGCCTCTTCTACACGCAGGGCTGCCCTCTTGGAGGGGCACATGGGGAGGCCTAGGGTTACTGGAGTTGGGATGGGGTGGGGTGGGTGGGTGAGTCAATGGAGAGTAGGCCAAGCCCTGAACCTTTTCGGGGGCTGTAAGCAAGACCCGGAGAGGGGCAGACCTTTCACATCCCCAACACCCTCTCCTAGGGGTGTGCTAAGGTTTGCCGCGTTAGTAGGGGGCTGTAGAGGGCCTGGCCGGGACTGAGATGGGAGGAGGAGGGAGTGCTGGAGTGTCCTGTGTTGGGAATGGGGACTGTGAAGGGCAGCTGAGGAGGGATGGGTTAGTGCGCCTTGGAGTGTGGTGCACTCTTGAGCCCCATCCTGCAGCAACGGGTGAAAAGATAGGGAGGTTGGGACAGAGGGGGGTCCTCAGTTGACCTCTTCCGGCCCTCCTCTTGTTCTGTGCAGATGGCAGCTGCAGAGGCTGTGCACCACATACACCTGCAGAACTTCTCACGCTCTCTGCTTGAGACCCTCAATGGGCAGAGGCTAGGGGGGCACTTCTGCGACGTGACTGTGCGCATTCGTGAAGCTTCACTGCGTGCCCACCGCTGCGTGCTGGCGGCCGGCTCGCCCTTCTTCCAAGACAAGCTGCTGCTCGGCCACTCTGAGATCCGTGTGCCTCCGGTGGTGCCCGCACAGACGGTGCGACAGCTGGTCGAGTTCCTGTACAGCGGTTCGCTTGTTGTGGCGCAGGGCGAAGCCCTGCAGGTGCTCACCGCCGCGTCGGTACTTCGCATACAGACAGTTATCGACGAATGCACGCAGATTATCGCCCGCGCCCGAGCCCCAGGCACCTCTGCGCCCACGCCCCTGCCCACTCCTGTGCCCCCGCCACTCGCACCTGCGCAGCTGCGTCACCGTCTGCGCCACCTGCTGGCTGCGCGCCCTCCGGGGCACCCTGGTGCTGCGCACAGCCGTAAGCAGCGCCAGCCCGCGCGTTTGCAGCTGCCTGCGCCCCCAACACCTGCCAAGGCCGAGGGGCCTGATGCTGACCCCTCACTGTCCGCGGCCCCTGACGACCGTGGCGATGAGGATGACGAGGAAACTGACGATGAGACCGATGGCGAGGACGGCGAAGGTGGCGGCCCGGGCGAGGGCCAGGCACCTCCTTCCTTCCCAGACTGTGCTGCCGGCTTCCTCACTGCTGCTGCTGACAGCGCCTGTGAGGAGCCCCCTGCACCCACTGGCCTCACTGACTACAGTGGTGCCGGGAGGGATTTTCTTCGGGGAGCTGGGGCAGCTGAGGACGTATTTCCAGACAGCTATGTATCCACTTGGCACGACGAGGATGGCGCTGTCCCCGAAGGCTGTCCCACTGAGACCCCTGTCCAGCCCGACTGCATACTGGCTGGACCCCGCCCGCCTGGTGTGAAGACCCCAGGGCCACCCGTCGCACTCTTCCCCTTTCACTTGGGTGCCCCCGGGCCACCCGCACCACCCCCTTCAGCACCATCAGGGCCAGCCCCTGCGCCCCCACCCGCCTTCTACCCCACACTCCAGCCCGAGGCAGCCCCCAGCACTCAGCTGGGGGAGGCCCCGGCTCCCTCTGCTGCTCCCACCACGGCCCCCTCAGGCACCCCTGCTCGCACAGCAGGTGCTGAGCCACCCACCTATGAGTGCAGCCACTGTCGCAAGACGTTCAGCTCCCGGAAAAACTACACCAAGCACATGTTCATCCACTCGGGTGAGCCAGGGCGGGAGAGGAGAGGGAGAAGCTCTCATTGGAGAGTTAAACCTAAGGGGGAATTCAGCACTAGTTACAGGGCACTGGAACTGTTCTGTTACTTTTGGGTAGCAGGGGGCCTGGAAATTGAGCCTTTCTCCAAGTGCAAGGTATGTGGGGGAGGAGAAAGTCCCACTCTGTGGAGCAGCAGGCACTGGCTTCTGTGGAGGGGGGCCTGAGGCTGGGTTGGGAAGCAGGAGCCTGTCCTGGCCTTTGGAAGGGTGGTGGTGGAAACTTTAGCAGCCTAGGATGCATGTGATGGGCATGGAGTCTTGGCAGGGGCTCCTGGGCAGGTTGGGAGACTATGCTCCAGGGAGCCTCCTGTGTCTCTCTGGTTTCCAGCAGTCCCGCCATGGCAGTCAGCAAGGGAGGGTGGGTTTACAGGCCCAGGGGTAGAAAGCCCGCAGAGAGGTGGTGCGATGAAGGAACTCCTGAGACTGGGGCAGGAGTAGGAAAACATGGGTACAGTGTGGGGACCCCACAGCTGCAGAGGACCCCAAAAAGCTGTGCGGAGGTTCCCTCGGACCTTGGCCGTGTCAGGGAGGCGGCTCTGCAGTGCTGCAGGAGAGGTAAAGAGTGGGAGGATGGTACTGAGGAATGTGAGGATGCTCCCTGGGGGCTGAGATGGAGGACAAAGGAATGGAAAGCAGAAGCCTGCTGGGCATTGTCAGTAAAAGCAGAAATTTGGCTGGAAGGCCACAGTGGTAGTGAGGGAGGTTTCTGCATGGGCTGGAACTTGGGATTTGACTGTGAGTGGTGGGGAAGCCATGGTATTCTAAGCTGGGGAGTGACTGAGATGTCAGTTTATAATCACCTCTGGCTGCCTTGGGGACAACTGGGAGGAGCCAGGGAACTGGGAATAAGGGAGTTGGGTGATTAGTCTCCAGGGTGGTGCCAGAGGCCCCAAGGTAGTGCTGGCTGTGTGAAGTGTGTGATCTGAGTCAGGTGCCTGGGCCCGGTTAGTCTGGGGTACCCCCTGGCAGGCACTGCCTTTCAGTACCGTGCCACTGAGAGAGGTTTTTTTTTTTTTTTTGGAGACCGAGTCTCCCTCTGTTGCCCAGGCTGTAGTGCAGTGGTGCGAGCTCGGTTTACTGCAACCTCTGCCTCCTGGGTTCAAGTGATTCTTGTGCCCCAGCCTCCTGAGTAGCTGGGATTACAAGGGTACACCGCCACACTTGGCTATTTTTTGTATTTTTAGTAGAGAAGGGGTTTCGCCATGTTGGTCAGTCTGGTCTTGAACTCCTGGCCTCATGCAATCTGCCTGCCTCAGCCTCCCAAAATGTTAGGATTACAGGTGGGAGCCACCATGCCTGGCTGAGATACGCATTTTGTTAATACCTGATGAATCTAGGGGTGGACTCAGCCTGCCTCCCCTCCCCTAACCTAGAATGAGGAGCTCTCTCTATCACACCAAGGACATTATAGTGGCCAGCGGGCAGGGGTTCTGGGCAACTGGGGCTTCCTGCAGGAAAGTGGCAGATGTGCCCAGGTCCCTCCTTATGAAAGGGCAATGGCCTTGTCAGACTGAGTTTAGGAGACTATATGGGCATTGGCGAGGGGGGCCAGGTCCGAGTGTCTCCCTGTGCCGGGTGGGTAGGGGCTGAGGGGGAGGTCCCTGAGGGTAGAGGGAGAGCCCAGTGGGCAGTCCAGATGAGCAACAGATGTTCCAGACAGGCTGGGTTCCCTGCAGGCAGGGTACTTGCTGGATTTAGGGGAGCCCTGTCAGACAGTGGCATCTCAGGATAACAGAAAGGGGGTCCCTGCCAGGAAGGGATGGGAGAGAGGTACCTCACAGTGTATGAGGGTCCCTGTTGGGCAGGAAAGTCCCAACATGAAGGGAGGTCCTGGAGGGGAGGGGGTGTCCCTGCTGGGCGGGAAGATCCCATAGTAAGGGGAGGGTTCCCCGACAGGCAAGGGATCCCGGGATAGTGGTTTGGGAGGGGAGGGGAGCTCCTGCCAGGTCCAGGCGCCCAGGGTGGGGGTGGGGTGGGGTGGCGGCGGGGAGCTGTAGAGTCTGACTTGCGTTCGCGGCCCGCCCTGTCGTCCGCAGGGGAGAAGCCGCACCAGTGCGCCGTGTGCTGGCGATCCTTCTCGCTGCGCGACTACCTGCTGAAGCACATGGTCACGCACACCGGTGTGCGCGCCTTCCAGTGCGCCGTTTGCGCCAAGCGCTTCACGCAGAAGAGCTCACTCAACGTGCACATGCGCACTCACCGGCCCGAGCGCGCGCCCTGCCCCGCCTGCGGCAAGGTCTTCTCGCACCGCGCGCTGCTGGAGCGCCACCTGGCCGCGCACCCTGCGCCCTGATGGGGCTGGGGCCTGGCCTCGCCCACGGTGGATCCGAGGCCTCCCGCACGGTCGGCCACCCCCGCTACGGGACCCGTGGTTCCCGCCACTAGACCACGCTCCCTCCTGAGCGCAGGTCCTCTCTCTCCCTTCACCCTTTCTCCATACCGGGACCTAAGTCCGCCTTACTCCTCTCCTCCATGTACTTGAACCCTCCAGGTGGTGCCGAGCTGGGGCTGGTTAGGGACCAGACCACCTCTGAGAACTAGACCATTTCCTGCCTAAAGATATGACTCTGGTTCTCGCCCCGCCCTCTCCTGGGGTGGGGGTGGGGGTGGGGGCTGGGGCCGCTCCCCTGCCCCGGTGTGAGGCTGTTCAAGGTCCCTAGCTCCCTACCCAAGCTATCCCTCCCTCGTGGGGTGCCTAAGGAGGCTCAAGTGGACCCATCATATATGGGGGCTGGGCCTCGGGACTCTCACTCTAATAAAGGACTGTAGGCCATGAGGCCTAAACCACGAAGCTGTGAGCACCTGGATCAGTGCGTGCCTTGCTCTCATAGACAAGCTGTGGGTGTCGGGGCTCAGCGTCCTTGTTCTTGGGCGGCACCCATGCGGCCCACAGGCTGTCCTGGGCAAGGACAGGATGGTCCACTTTGCCATCTCGGGCCTCTATTCTGTAGGGGCTAAGATGGGCTACATATATAACCGGCACTTGCTTCTCTTGTATCCCTGAGTCCTGTGGGGAGGAGGATAGGCAGGCCACATCTGAGATGGGTCTCCGAGAGGGAGGCCATGTGAAAGCCCCATCACACTCCTGATTGCTGCTGTCCACGACCTTTGAGGCCCCTCCCATAGATCTTCCAGCCAGGGTCTAAGGGCCTTTTGGACTTGAGACTTCCCCTCCCCCACTCTGATGGACATGGCTGAGCACCTTACTTGTGGTGAGCCCAGGGGGATCTTTGGGGCCAGGTTGCCCTGAGGGTATATGAGCCCCCATATATCTGCCCTTAGTGCTGGGGGCCAAGTTCAGGGAGGGCTCTGATGGCTGTATTGGGGACAGGAAACAGTGAGGGGTGGGATCCGGGGGCTGACTGCTGGGCAGTTGGGGACACTACCCCAGTGGCCAGCCATGTCCCAGGCCCCTGCATCCAGTGGAGAGAGCAGCCACTCTTCACCTTTCCACTCTTCAGCACAATAGTGGCTCCTAGCCTAGGTGCCCTGCCCTAAGGATTTCGAGCTGGTGGAGTGGGGTATGTCCTGGAGGGCCATGCCCCAGCCTGACCTGCCAGGCTCCTAGGCCAATGGCAGCTCCTCTGGATTTACCTTCTGGGACTGCCTCCTCAAGGTGAAATGCCAAGGCTTTGATGATCCAACTGAGTGCATCATGGGCTGACTTCAGTCTCCTGAACCCCAGGACTCCATCGTCATCAAAGCCAGAGGTGGGACAGAGAGTCACAGAGCAAGCACATGGGAGGGGGGCAGAGCTGGTTTGAATCCAGGCGATGCGAGTGTTCCTCTATTTACTGAGCACTTGCTGGATGCCTGGCAGGAGGCTACGATTCCTTGGATCGTGGGACAAGGGGCTTAGCCTGGCTGAGGCCCTCTCACCAGGGTTTAAGTGGGTGTCACAGGAGGACCTCCCAGTGAGGTCCACCTTGCTGTCCTGTTGCTTTTCTCTTTGGCCTGATTGGAGTGTTCCCAAGGGCAGGGATTTCTGTGCTCTGAGTGCCTGATACACAGCAGGGATGGGAGGGGAGGCAAGGGAGTTAGACGCCAGCCCCGGAGGGTGGATGGGGCAAGCAGGACAGCAGGAAGGAGGCTAGTGGTGGTGCCCAAGGGGCAGAGACCTGGGAACCCAGAGGCCAATGATGGAAAGGGGTCAGACCTGGCAAAGGAGGGGGCTGATAGGGGTGGCAAATAGGCAGAGAGGGGCTGGAGCCACACACAAGACCAGTCAGAGCAAACAAACATGTAGAGGAGAAGGGCTGGGGGCAAAGTCCTGGAGAGAGGACCAGCCACTGTCAGCAGTGCCAGGGCCGCCACCCCTGGGGAGGAGCCACTGGGCTACTCTGAGGGGCCAGAGGTGAGCCTCAATATTCCACAGCTGCTGCTCCTAGGGAGGAGCTGGTACCATGGGTGTCAGGCGACGGTTGGCCTTGCTGCTGCTGCTGCTGCTCCTGCTCTGGGGCCTAGGACAGCCAGTGTGGCCAGTGGCTGTGGCCTTGACCCTGCGCTGGCTCCTAGGGGATCCCACATGCTGCGTGCTACTTGGGCTGGCCATGTTAGCACGGCCCTGGCTCAGCCCCTGGGTGCCCCATGGGCTGAGCCTGGCAGCTGCAGCCCTGGCACTAACCCTGCTGCCAGCACGGCCGCCCCCAGGGCTACGCTGGCTGCCGGCTGATGTGGTCTTCTTGGCTAAGCTCCTCCATGTGGGCCTGAAGATCAGGGCATGCTTGAGCCGGCAGCCACCTGACACCTTTGTAGATGCCTTCGAGAGGCGAGCACGAGCTCAGTCTGGCAGGGCAGTCTTGGTGTGGACGGGGCCCGGGGTTGGCTCAGTCACCCTTGGCGAGCTGGATGCCCGGGCCTGCCAGGCGGCATGGGCCCTGAAGGCTGAGATGGGTGGCCGTGCGAGCCTGTGTGCTGGGGAGCCTGCCGCCCTCCTGGTGCTGGCTTCCCAGGCCGTTCCAGCCCTGTGTCTGTGGCTGGGGCTGGCCAAGCTGGGCTGCCCAATAGCCTGGATCAACCCGCATATCCGGGGGATGCCCCTGGTGCACTCTGTGCTGAGCTCCGGGGCCCGGGTGCTGGTGGTGGACCCAGGTGAGGGCCTTGGAGCCAGTGGAGAATGGAAGGGAGCAAGGGAAGGGACTGTAGGACAGGGGTCCTGGTGGGACTGGCAGAGGCCCTTGGTCCCCACCTGCCCACTTTCTCAGGCAGTTATAATCAAGACTTATGAGCAGAAAGTAGTTCTCAAGTCACCAGAGTTTAATTTCCCCACAATGGCTATTTCAATCCTTTTTGACCAAAAATACTAATGATGGGATTCTTTACCGAACAACATGGACGCTTTTCTATGCTAGCTGCAACTCTGCCTGCATCTCTGGGTCTCAGATCCCGCCTCGTGACCTCAAAGGTGAGCCTTGCCTCTGTTTCTCCTCTGACCCATCCCTGCAGACCTCCGGGAGAGCCTGGAGGAGATCCTTCCCAAGCTGCAGGCTGAGAACATCTGCTGCTTCTACCTCAGTCATACCTCCCCTACACCAGGGGTGGGGGCTCTGGGGGCTGCCCTGGATGCAGCGCCCTCCCATCCAGTGCCTGCTGACCTGCGTGCTGGGATCACTTGGAGAAGCCCTGCCCTCTTCATCTACACCTCAGGGACCACTGGTGAGGGTGCCCATTAGTACCAGCCTCTGAACTCTCAGGCTGACCTGACCCCACACTTGACTTGTGCCTCAGTGTTGACCTCTGAAACCACTTTACCATCTGATTTTGACATTTGTTTTCTGCTTGTTTGGCTGTTTTTTGTTTGTTTGTTTCTTTGTTTTGACTCAGAGTCTTGCTCTGTCACCTAGGCTGGAGTGCAGTGGTGTGATCTCGGCTCACTGCAACCTCCACCTCCTGGGTTCAAGCGATTCTCTTGCCTCAGCCTCCTGAGTAGCTGAGATTACAGGTGCCCACCACCACACCTGGCTAATTTTTGCATTTTTGGTAGAGACAGGGTTTTGCCAAGTTGGCCAGGCTGGTCTCTAACCCCTGACCTCAGGTGATCTGTCCACCTCAGCCTCCCAAAATGATGGAATTACAGGTGTGAGCCACTGTGAGAGCCTTGATTTTGACATTTGGCCTGAACTCTGACCCCCAATGTAATTTGAGAGGTCAATGCCAGAATGCTTCCTGTGTCCAGTAAACAGCCACTGAAACCTTTGGTCTTGACATATTACTCTCAGTCCAAATTCAGCCTGTGAACCCAACCACAGATACCTATACTTGCCTGCTCTCTGAGAGCCTCAAACCCCAATGCAGGCCTGGCTGTTAGAGATCTATCCCTCTGGTCAGGACCCTCTCTGTGCTGTCATTTCACCACTCTGCCCTTGCCACGCCTTCATCCCAAGGCCTCCCGAAGCCAGCCATCCTCACTCATGAGAGGGTACTGCAGATGAGCAAGATGCTGTCCTTATTTGGGGCCACAGCTGATGACGTGGTTTACATGGTCCTGCCTCTGTACCACGTGATGGGACTTGTCGTTGGGATCCTCGGCTGCTTAGAGCTCGGTAAGCCCACTTCTGAGGATCTCTCCAATCAAAGGACCACTGGAGTAAGTGTCAGGGTGGGGCTGTCAAGGCAAAAAGACACTGTAGGTTACCCAGCACCCTGCGTTCTCACTTTCGAGAAGGGACACCCACCAATGAGTACCAGGGCCCCATGGACAGAAGCCTGGATGCCCACACAGTCCCTAATGGCTGTGCTTTGGTCAGGAGGTGACAAGACCTGATATGAGTGACGGTCACAGGCATCCAGGGAAGGTGGGGTGCTCAGGAGATGATGGGGATGCTGGCCCAGATTTGTGACATGGCCGCAGGGGGAGCTGGAGTAGGAGTGCTCTCAAGCACTCCATAGGGCTGTCTCTTTGGACTCTTGATTCAGAATCTAGACAGGGACTTCTCCATAGCTTGTTCTTTTTTCTCTTTTTTTAAATTTAATTTTTATTTTTATTTTTATTTTTGAGACGGAGTCTTGCTTTGTCGCCAGGCTGGAGTGCAGTGGCCCGATCTTGGCTCACTGCAACCTCTGCCTCCTAGGTTCAAGCGATTCTCCTGCTGCAGCCTCCCGAGTAGCTGGGATTACAGGCACCCACCGCTATGCCCAGCTAATTTTTGTATTTTTAGTAGAGATGGGATTTCACCATCTTGGCCAGGCTGGTCTTGAACTCCTGACCTTGTGATCCACCTGCCTCGGCCTTCCAAAGTGCTGAGATTACAAGTGTGAGCCACCGTGCCTGGCCATTTTCTCTCTCTTTTTTTTTGAGACAGAGTCTCGCTCTATCACCCAGGCTGGAGTGCAGTGGCATGATCTCAGCTAACTGCAACCTCCACCTCCCGGGTTCAAGCAATTCTTCTGCCTCAGCCTCCTGAGTAGCTGGGATTACAGGCATGCACCACCATGCCCAGCTAATTTTTGTATTTTTACTAGAGACAAGGTTTCACCATGTTGGTCAGGCTGGTCTTGAACTCCTGACCTTGTGATCCACCAGCCTCGGCCTCCCAAAGTGCTGGGATTACAGGTGTGAGCCACCGCGCCCGGCCTCTTTGTGTTTTCAAACTTTTATCATGGCTAGGTGTGGTTGCTCATGCCTATAATCCCTGCACTTTGGGGTGCCAAGGCAGGAGGGTCACTTGAGCCCAGGAGTTCAACACTAACCTGGACAACATAGTGAGAGGCCTTCTGTTTAAAAAAGAAAAAAAAAAAAGCCGGGCGTGGTGGCTCAAGCCTGTAATCCCAGCACTTTGGGAGGCCGAGATGGGTGGATCACGAGGTCAGGAGATCGAGACCATCCTGGCTAACACGGTGAAACCCCGTCTCTACTAAGAAATAAAAAAAAAAAACTAGCCGGGCGAGGTGGCGGGCGCCTGTAGTCCCAGCTACTCGGGAGGCTGAGGCTGGAGAATGGCGTGAACCTGGGAGGCGGAGCTTGCAGTGAGCTGAGATCCGGCCACTGCACTCCAGCCTAGGTGACAGAGCGAGACTCTGTCTCAAAAAAAAAAAAAAAAAAAAAAAGCCAGGCATGATGGTATCAGGGGAACCCGCCCCCCGTATTTCAACATAGGTTCTATTTTCCATAAGCGTCAGCCAGCTGAGAAATAAGGAGAAAGAGTACAAAGAGAGGAATTTTACAGCTGGGCCACCAGGGGTGACATCACATATCGGTAGGACCGTGATGCCCACCTGAGCCTCAAAGCCAGCAAGTTTTATTAAGGATTTCAAAAGGGGAGGGGGTGCAAGAACAGGGAGTAGGTACAAAGATCACATGCTTCAAAGGGCAAAAAGCAGAACTACTGATAAAGGTCCAACAAAGATCACAAGGCAAAGGGCAAAACAGAACTACTGATAAGAATCTATGTTCAGCGGTGCATGCATTGTCTTGATAAACATCTTAAACAAGAGAAAACAGTTCGAGAGCAGAGAACGGTCTGACCTCACATGTACCAGGGCGGGATTTTTCCCCACCCTAGTAAGCCTGAGGGTCCTGCAGGAGACCAGGGCGTAGCTCAGCCCTTATCTCAACTGCACAGGACAGACACTCCCAGAGTGGCCGTTTATAAACCTCCCCCCAGGAATGAATTCCTTTCCCAGGGTCTTAATATTAATATTCCTTGCTAGGCAAAGAATTTAGTGATACTGAAAATACAAAAGTAGCCGGGCGTGGTGGTGTGTGCCTGTACTTCCAGCTACTAGGGAGGCTGAGGCAGGAGAATCGCTTGAACCCATGAGGCGGAGGCAGGAGAATGGCGTGAACCCGGGAGGCGGAGGCAGGAGAATGGCGTGAACCCGGGAGGCGGGGGTTGCAAAAAGAGTGAAACTCCTTGCAAAAAAAAAAAAAGCGAAAATAGTTTGATGACATCTCATGTATCTTCGCCCAGCCTCAATAATTTTTTTTCTTTTTTCTTGAGACGGAGTCTCACTCTGTTGCCCAGGCTGGAGTGTACTGGTGCGAGCTCAGCTCACCACAACCTCTGCCTCCCGGGTTCAAGCAATTCTATGCTGAGGCTGAGTCTCGTGAGTAGCTGGGATTACAGACACTTGCCACCACACCCGGCTAATGTTTGTATTTTTAGTAGAGACGAGGTTTCTCCATGTTGGCCAGGCTGGTCTCGAACTCCTGACCTCTGGTGATCCACCCGCCTCAGCCTCCCAAAGTGCTGGGATTACAGGTGGGAGCCAGCGTGCCCAGCCACTTCCCTATTTCTTTCTAGAATAGATCAGAGCAAATCCTTGACACTATCTTTATGCTTGTAAATATTGCAGTACATATCTCTAATATATAAGCACTTAAGAAACTGTAACCAAATTATCACACCTATCAACATTAATAGTAACCCCTTAATATTATATGATGTCAACTATGTTCAGATTTCTCCAATGGGCTGTTTTGATTTGGTTTTGTTTTTAGAGACAGGGTCTTGCTTTGTCACCCAGGCTGGAGTGCAGTGGTATGATCTTGGCTCACTGCAACCTCTGCCTCCTGGGTTCAAATGATTCTCATGCCTCAGCCTCCTGAGTAGCTGTGATTACAGGTGTGGGCCACCATGCCCAGCTAATTTTTTTGTATTTTTAGTAAAGACAGGGTTTTGCCCTGTTGGCCAGTCTGGTCTTGAACTTCTGGCCTCAAGTGATCCGACCACGTTGGCCTCCTAAAGTGCTGAGATTACAGGTGTAAGCCGCTGTGCCCAGCCAATTGGCTGGGTGTTTTTTTTTTGGTTTTTTTAAATATATAATTAAACAGTCTCCCCATTGTATTTGCTTGTAGGTCTCTGTTCCCCTTTCGTCTGCATTTCTTGTTAAATTGGAAACTTTCTCTAGAGGTGTTGTTAGATTCAGCTTCTTTTTTTTTTTTTTGAGACAGAGTCTTACTCTGTCACCCAGGCTGGAGTGCAGTGGTGCAAGCTCGGCTCACTACACTCTCCCCCTCCTGGGTTCAAGCGATTCTCCTATCTCAGCCTCCCAAGTAGCTGGGACTACAGGTGTGCACCACCACGCCTGGCTAATTTTTGCATTTTTTGGTAGAGATGGGGTTTCACCATGTTGGCTAGGCTGGTGTCAAACTCCTGATCTTTCAGGTGATCCACCCCCCTCAGCCTCCCAAAGTGTTGGGATTACAGGCATGAGCCACCGTGCCCAGCCCCCTGTATCTTATTAATCCATGTGTCCATACATCAATACATCCATACATACATCCACCAACCCACCCATCCACCTACTCACCTACTTCTTCACTCATCCATTCATCCACCCACCCACCCATCTATCCATCCTTACACTTATCCATCTTTCCACCCCCTGCCTCTGCATGTCACCACCCACCCATCCATCTACTGACTCACTACTCTGTCCATCCATCCATCTACTGACTCACTACTCTGTCCATCCATCCATCTACTCACTCACTACTCTGTCCATCCATCCATCTACTCACTCACTACTCTAACTGTCCATCCATCCATCTACTCACTCACTACTCTAACTGTCCATCCATTCATCTACTCACTCACTACTCCAACTGTCCATCCATCCATCTACTGACTCACTACTCTGTCCATCCATCCATCTACTCACTCACTACTCTGTCCATCCATCCATCTACTCACTCACTACTCTAACTGTCCATCCATCCATCTACTCACTCACTACTCTAACTGTCCATCCATCCATCTACTCACTCACTACTCTAACTGTCCATCCATTCATCTACTCACTCACTACTCTAACTGTCCATCCATCTATTCACTCACTACTCTGTCCACCCATCCATCTACTCACTCACTACTCTGTCCATCCATCCATCTACTGACTCACTACTATGTCCATCCATCCATCTACTCACTCACTACTCTGTCCATCCATCCATCTACTCACTCACTACTCTAACTGTCCATCCATTCATCTACTCACTCACTACTCTAACTGTCCATCCATCTATTCACTCACTACTCTGTCCACCCATCCATCTACTCACTCACTACTCTAACTTTCCACCCACCCCTCCATCTACTTACTACTCTAACTGTCCATCCATCCATCTGTTCACTCACTACTGTAACTGTCCATCCATTCATCTTTCCATTCATCTACCATATCCATCCACCTGCCCACCCATCTGCTTAGCTGGGCATTCATTTATCACAATCAAGAGTGATTTGAGCTTTGAGTCAGTGACAAGTAAAAATAAAAATTAAAAAAGTGGGCCGGGCGCGGTGGCTCAAGCCTGTAATCCCAGCACTTTGGGAGGCCGAGGCGGGCGGATCACAAGGTCAGGAGATAGAGACCATCCTGGCTAACACGGTGAAACCCCGTCTCTACTAAAAATACAAAAAACTAGCCGGGCGAGGTGGCGGGCGCCTGTGGTCCCAGCTACTCAGGAGGCTGAGGCAGGAGAATGGCGTGAACCCAGGAGGCGGAGCTTGCAGTGAGCTGAGATCGCGCCACTGCACTCCAGCCTGGGGGACACAGCAAGACTCCGTCTCAAAAAAAAAAAAAAAAAAATTAAAAAAGTGGCCGGGTGTGGTGGCTCACACCTGTAATCCCAGCACTTTGGGAGGCTGAGGCAGGTGGATCACCTGAAAGGTCAGGAGTTCACGACCAACCTGGGCAACATGGTGAAACCCCGTCTCTACTAAAAAAATACAAAAATTAGCCAGCCGTGGTGGCGGGTGCCTGTAATCCCAGCTACTCAGAAGGCTGAGGCAGGAGAATCGCTTGAACCTGGGAGGCAGAGGTTGCAGTAAGCCGAGATTGCACCACTGCACTCCAGCCTGGGCAACAGAGCGAGACTCTATCTCAAAAAAAAAAAAAAATTAATTAATTAATTAATATTTGCAGCCCTTATTTAGCATTGATCACTTTATACCAGGCACGGAGCTTTCCAGGCATCCTGGAGACAGCATTTGAACCCAGGCCTGCCTATGCTCTTCTAATGACAGCAGTCCTGGCTGGGCCAAGGACACAAAGATGAACTTAGTATTGTCTTGTATTTCAGGGTGTGGGGGTGGGTGAACACAGGTGCTAAAAGCAGCTTCTTACAACAACTTGGAAGCATGACCTGAAACACCGTCCCCTCTCATCGCCCAGGAGCCACCTGTGTTCTGGCCCCCAAGTTCTCTGCTTCCTGCTTCTGGGATGACTGTCGGCAGCATGGTGTGACAGTGATCCTGTATGTGGGCGAGCTCCTGCGGTACTTGTGTAACATGCCCCAGGTGAGGCTCTAAGATTAGGGCTCCATGGTGAACACCCAAGTATGAAATCTCAGATGATATCTCAGGTAAAGATTCAGGTACTGAACTCAAGCAAGTCCCTCAGATAATCCACCTCAGGCAAGAACCCAGACAAGGAGTTCCAGACAAGGCTTCCAACAGTGGTTTCTCTGATAGCTGTGCTACCTTGAGCCTCAGTGTCCTCATTTGGGAAACAGTAATAATAGCCCCTACACCTATCGTGAGAATTTCCATTAAAAATTAATTAATTCGACTGGGCACGGTGGCTCAAGCCTGTAATCCCAGCACTTTGGGAGGCCGAGATGGGCAGATCACGAGGTCAGGAGATCGAGACTATCCTGGCTAATACAGTGAAACCCCATCTCTACTAAAAAATACAAAAAAAAATAGCCGGGCGTGGTGGCGGGAGCCTGTAGTCCCAGCTACTCGGGAGGCTGAGGCAGGAGAATGGCGTAAACCCGGGAGGCGGAGCTTGCAGTGAGCTGAGATCATGCCACTGCACTCCAGCCTGAGCGACAGAGCGAGACTCCGTCTCAAAAAAAAAAAAAAAAATTAATTAATTAAAATTAAATCTCCATGAAATTAAAGTTCTAGGTAACTACTCCTAGGTGAGACCCCAGATGAGGCCTCCAGTCATCTCTGGTAACGTCCCCTAGGCAAAGCTCTCAGGTCACCCCTGCAGGTAACCCTCTATTTGAAAAGACTCCAGTAACTACTCTCATGTAAGTAACCCAGGTAGATCCCTTAGGTAGTCACCTTCCAGGTAACTCCCAAGGTAAGGACCCAGGATAACACCCCCTCTAGGTAAAGGTTCCAAGGCATGCCCCAAAGCACCTCCTCCTCACCCTTCTGGGGACATTCCTGTAGCAACCAGAGGACCGGACACATACAGTCCGCATGGCGATGGGCAATGGACTCCGGGCTGATGTGTGGGAGGCCTTCCAGCAGCGCTTCGGTCCCATTCGGATCTGGGAAATCTACGGCTCCACAGAAGGCAACATGGGCTTAGTCAACTATGTGGGGCGCCGCGGGGCCCTGGGCAAGATGAACTGCCTTCTTCGAGTGAGTGTGCGGGTGCCTGGTGTGCAGCTGCCCCGACTGAGGCTGAGCCCACAGGACCTATGTCGACACCCCACCCTCTACCCCAGATGCTGTCCCCCTTTGAGCTGGTGCAGTTCGACATGGAGGCGGAGGAGCCTGTGAGGGATAATCAGGGCTTCTGCATCCCTGTAGGGCTAGGTATGGGGGTTGAGGAGCCTTTCCTGGGTGGTGGGGGTGGCGACCCTCAGTCTTCTCTTTGGCTGGAACGAGCTGCCCAAAACCTTAACACTGGTGCTCACTAAAGGGGTATGCAGCCTTCATCTGGACCCTGAGCCAGTGGCCTGTCTTACCACCATCTGGGGCCTCTGCCTCAGCTTCTCCGCTCTGCCCAGCTCCCCTGCCTTGATCTCTCGCTCTGATTTACTGGGTCTCTGGGTGTCCCTCTGATTTGTTCTCTTGAGCTTTCTGTGGAAGACGGCATTCCAGCCATTGGTCTCTTGTCCTGTACCTTGTTGTGTCTTCTCCCAGGGCCTTGCAAGGTCCTGGTCATGTGTATTCTCACTGCCATTTGTCTGTCCGTCTCCACCCCTTGTCATCCTTTCCCTGTTTCTCATGGGCTCCCTGATACCGCCTGACCTAGACTTCTCCTTTTCTGTGTCGCCCGTCGCCGTCTCTCAGGGTCTCTGTCTCTGAATCTGTGGATCTCCCTGTCTCTCTTTGGGTCTGTCCTTGGCAGGGCGCTGGATGATGAAGAGTCCACCGTTGTTGAAAACCTCCGGCCGGGCGCGGTGGCTCACGCCTGTAATCCCAGCACTTTGGGAGGCCGAGGCGGGCGGATCACAAGGTCAGGAGATAGAGACCACGGTGAAACCCCGTCTCTACTAAAAATACAAAAAACTAGCCGGGCGAGGTGGCGGGCGCCTGTGGTCCCAGCTACTCAGGAGGCTGAGGCAGGAGAATGGCGTGAACCCAGGAGGCGGAGCTTGCAGTGAGCCGAGATCGCGCCACTGCACTCCAGCCTGGGTGACACAGCGCGAGACTCCGTCTCAAAAAAAAAAAAAGAAAAAAAAAAAAAAGAAAACCTCCAGCAGGGGATTTGCTGGTGGGCTCCAGGGGTTCTTGTTCCTGCTCCTACCCCCAGGGGAGCCGGGGCTGCTGCTGACCAAGGTGGTAAGCCACCAACCCTTCGTGGGCTACCGCGGCCCCCGAGAGCTGTCGGAACGGAAGCTGGTGCGCAACGTGCGGCAATCGGGCGACGTTTACTACAACACCGGGGACGTACTGGCCATGGACCGCGAAGGCTTCCTCTACTTCCGCGACCGCCTCGGGGACACCTTCCGGTTCGAGGCGGGGTTTCTCGGGGCGGGGCTGGGCCAGGACCTCGGAAGCCTTCAGATCCTAGAGGGAGCCAGGCTGAAGAGGCGGGACTTTCCTATCGTAAGAGGGCGGAGCTTGGAGTCCGGACTTCCCACGCGAAGGCGGGGCTTCTCGATTTTAGAGGGGGCGGGGTTGACCGGGCCTCCTAATCCCCAAAAGGGGCAGGCGGGGCGGGGCAAGAGGCGGGGCCGCTCCTTGCCGGGGGCGTGGTCACAAGCGTCGGCTCCAACCCCGCAGATGGAAGGGCGAGAACGTGTCCACGCACGAGGTGGAGGGCGTGTTGTCGCAGGTGGACTTCCTGCAGCAGGTTAACGTGTATGGCGTGTGTGTGCCAGGTGCGGAGAGTTCTCATTTTAAACTTCCAACAGCTTTGTGGGTGGAGGGGTCGTTATTCTGATTTTACAGGTGGGGAAGCGCTAGGGTACAGAGAGGTTTAGAAACTTGCCGCATCTCACAGCCAGTGAGCAGAGCTGGGCGAGGCTGGAGGGTCAGCTGTGGGCCCTCCAGGTGGGTCAGCCGAGAGTGACCAGACTGCTCCCTAGGGTGTGAGGGTAAAGTGGGCATGGCTGCCGTGCAGCTAGCCCCCGGCCAGACTTTCGACGGGCAGAAGTTGTACCGGCACGTTCGCGCTTGGCTCCCTGCCTACGCTACCCCCCATTTCATCCGCATCCAGGTGAGGCCAGGGTGGCAGGGAAGGTGGGTGGAAGATCCTAGCCGGGGGGGAGGGGTGTCACAGTGAGGGGACCATGATCACTGCCGTGCAGGACGCCGTGGAGGTCACGAGCACGTTCAAATTGATGAAGACCCGGCTGGTGCGTGAAGGCTTCAACGTGGGGATCGTGGTTGACCCTCTGTTTGTACTCGACAACCAGGCCCAGTCCTTCCGGCCCCTGACGGCAGAAACGTACCAGGCTGTGTGTGAGGGAACCTGGAGGCTCTGACTATCTGGCCAACCCACTGGGGCAGGGATCAAAGCCAGACACCCCCACCCCAACACATTCTTTCAACCTGGGCCTGCGTGAATCCCAGTCTGGCCATACCCTCAACCTCAGTGGGCTGGAAATGACAGTGGGCCCTGTAGCAGTGGCAGAATAAACTCAAATGTGTTCACAGAAGTCTGTATGTCTGCGTGGATGAAGGAGCAATGGAAGAGTGCAGGGGCTAGTGCCCTGAAGACCTCAGTTTAGGGTCTTCCCTCTCTCCCAGCCAAGAACCTCAGCCATCCTTGTGGGATGACCCTGTCTGTGTAAGGCCACGGGTGTGGGAGGAGCCGGCCAGCCTCGCAGCTGCTCTAAGGTAGAGAGATGAGAACACTGATTCCATCTGCGGGTCTTTAGTGGGCCACTGAGGCGGTGGCTGGGCCAGTGGATGTGGATTATTTTTCTGTGAAGTGCTGTGGATACACGATCTGACAAAGCCTGGAGGTTGCTGGACTGAGGCTAGAAGGGTAAGCAGGAAGTAACTGGGCGAGGAGTGTCCCTGGCAGTGTGAACGGCACGTGTGAAGGCCCTGGGGCAAGCTTTGTAGGTGAGAAGCAGCAGGAGCAGAGGCCTCTGGAAAATGGGAGTCTGCACAGTCTCAGGAGTTGGACGTGCTACCCGAAGTCTAGTGGAGATGTAGGTGGGGGTGTGTGGGTGCTGAGCCTCTGGCTCAAAGGCCATAAGTGCTTCTCAGGGCGCAGTAGGAACTGTAGGTGAGGCTACAGACACTGGAACAGTTGTGGTGGTGCCGGGCCGGTGGTCCGTGGGTCAACTTTGGGAGCAGAACTGGGGTGATGAAAAGGAACCCCACAGCAGTAACCCCTGTATGCAAAGGGCTGTCCGTGGGCAGTGCTGCAGGCTGCGACCTTGCCCATCCCTTCTCACGTGCTTAGTAAACACACCCCATGGCAATGGCTTAAGCATACCTGAAAATGGCCCTGTGTGGCAGACGCACCTGAGTGTGGTTCAGAGTTCCTGGCTAAGGAGTCTCAGAGATTCGTTCCTTATTTTTGAGGAACATCCGGGTCCTTGGCCCTGTCCCATGGAACGCTGGCGGTACAGGGGATCCTGGCCTTTTGCTTTCAGTTAAATGAAGGTTGCCGGGGGAGGATATTAAGTGAAAATGCTATATAAACTGCATGCTTTTTGCAAGTGGTTCTCCTGCCCAGCCCACCACCCCTGGACTCTCCCCAGTACGTAAGCCGCCAGTAAAACCCTATATCTTGTTTTCTGGCTCTCAGTCGCTTTTTTTGCCTCTTGAACCTGGTGCCACCCCATTGGAGTCAGTAGGGGTTTTGCACAATACTGTGCTCTCCCGTGCCTCAGCCTCCTCATCAGGCTATGGGCCATGTCGAGAACAGAACCAGCCTTCGAAGGGAGCGGTGCAGGCAGCACCCCACGTGGGCCGTGAGGCAGCTGGGCTTCACAGAGCTCCTGGTAGCATTTGAGGCTCTGCTGTCAGCTATGCAGCCTCCAGCTGAGACAGTACCCTTTTCAGTTGGGGTCCCACTAGGAGCATCTGTTTGTCATTGGCGGTGGCTATGCACAGTAGTTATCTTCTGCAAAGTGATAGTTGTTGTGACTTGCCATTTCTCTACCCTGTGTGGCCAGTGGAGCCCCATGTGTTCCCGGAAGAGCCCTAGCCCTTTCATACAACTGGACTTGGATCCGGGCCATCTGGTCCTCCCCTGCACACAGTGGGTTGTTCAGTTCCTTCATACTCCTGTTTGCTCCAGGAGAGACCCTGGCCAGGAAGGGAGCTAGAGCTGTGTGAACAGAGCAGCAGAGGCCCAGGCGTTGCCACCTCTCGGGGCACTAAGGAAACAATAGGCAGGGACAAGTGGATACCAAGGCCTGGTATCACATGTGTTCACAGAAGTCTGTGTGTCTGTGTGGATGAAGGAACATTGGAGGAGTGCAGGGGCTGCTGCCCCAAAGACCTTACTTTGGGGCCCTTCCTGCCTTCCCACCAGGGACCTGAGCTATCCCTGTGGGATGACCCCATCTGGGCTTCCTCCTCCTGTTGCAAATTAGGTTCTCAAGTTCGGTGGCATTCTTATTTCCTTCAGGAAGGACCCTGGCCAAGAAGTGAGCCTGCGGTTATGTGAACACAGCAGCAGAGGTCAGGCTGGTCACCCTTGCTGCTCCTTCAGCTTTGCCTTCCCAGATGCACAGTAGGTTCAATATCATGTGACAGCTGGAGCCTGGGCTCTCTTGATGGCCCATCCCTCCTGCCCTGAACACAGTAGGTTCTTGTTATGTTAAGGCCCTTGTACCCTTTGGGACCAGAGACCAGCCTAGAAGGGAGCTTGGAGTACACAGACAAAGCAGCAGAGGTTGGCACTGGCCGCCCCTACTGTGGCCCCATGGTCTACTGTGTCTTGTGATCATCCCTTGAGACATGCTGGGCCCTGTTCTTCAGGCTTTCCCATACCACTGTGCTCATGGCCTGGTGCCAACCTGAGCCCAGGTATCTCTACTTTTCTTGTGTATGCCATGTTGTGGGTCGACGGTAAGTTTTGACTGTGTCCCCATGAGGAATGCTGCATTCCTCTGGTGCCAGTTCAAGGAGCCCTGGCCCATGGGGCTATCTCACGCGTTTTCTATCAGACAAAGCCAGCATCTGGAATGTGGGCTGAAGAAATCCACTCAGTCAACAGATTGTCAAATGCTTGATATGCTGGGAATGCAGGGGAGAGTGGGCACATGTGTTAGATTTGAATGTGGGCATGTAGATCCCAGAGCTTGCAGTGTGGAGAGCGAGGCAGACACTTACAAGCTAGAGATCTACTTAGATCTACCTGCTTCTCATGCCTCAGTTTTCTCCAATGAAAATGCCTACCTCGAAGGATGTTTGTGGGGAAAAGTACAGGGAAAGTTCCCCACAAAGGTTCCCTGTTGTCCCTGCTATTGCTATCTTGGCTCTGGCCATCAGTCAGAGCCTCAGTTTCTCCATCTGCAGAGTAGGCATGTTGACCCCACTTTGCAGTGTCATTGGAGGGGATTGTTAACAACAATAGAAAGAAACTTGTGTCTAAGAACCCTCACGTGCTTGTTTTTTTTTTTTTTTTTTTGAGACGGAGTCTCGCTCTGTCGCCCAGGCTGGAGTGCAGTGGCCAGATCTCCGCTCACTGCAAGCTCTGCCTACCGGGTTCGCGCAATTCTCCTGCCTCAGCCTCCCGAGCAGCTGGGACTACAGGTGCCCGCCACCTCGCCCGGCTAGTTTTTTTGTATTTTCAGTAGAGACGGGGTTTCACCGTGTTAGCCAGGATGGTCTCGATCTCCTGACCTCGTGATCCGCCCGTCTCGGCCTCCCAAAGTGCTGGGATTACAGGCTTGAGCCACCGCGCCCAGCCCCTCACGTCCTTGTTAAGAAGAATAACCCTCGTGGACTCCCCTGGGGCCAGGCTAGAGCTGACTTTTTTTTTTTTTTTTTTTTTTTGAGACGGAGTCTCGCTCTGTCGCCCAGGCTGGAGTGCAGTGGCATGATCTCGGCTCACTGCAAGCTCCGCCTCCCGGGTTCACGCCATTCTCTCGCCACAGACTCCCGAGTAGCTGGGACTACAGGTGCCCACCACCACACCCAGTTAAGTTTTTTTATTTTTTTATTTATTTTTTTTGACACGGAGTCTGGCTCTGTTGCACAGGCTGGAGTGCAGTGGTCGCATCTCAGCTCACTGCAAGCTCCGCCTCCGAGGTTCACGCCATTCTCTTGCCTCAGCCTCCCGAGTAGCTGGGACTACAGGCGCCCGCCACCTCGCCCGGCTAGTTTTTTGTATTTTTTAGTAGAGACGGGGTTTCAGCGTGTTAGCCAGGATGGTCTCGATCTCCTGACCTTGTGATCCACCCGTCTCAGCCTCCCAAAGTGCTGGGATTACAGGCTTGAGCCACCGCGCCCGGCCAAGTTTTTGTATTTTTAGTAGAGACGGGGTTTCACTGTGTTAGCCAGGATGGTCTTGATCTCCTGACTTCGCGACCTCGTGATCCACCCACCTCGGCCTCCCAAAGTACTGGGATTGCAAGCGTGAGCCATCGAGCCTGGCCTAGAGCTGATACCTCTTAACTGACAGCTCGTCTCATCTTCACCACATCTCATGGGATGAGTTGTTGTGTTGCTCCCACCATTGTCAAGGAAGCCCCAGCCAAGAGAGGTGCTTTCACCATGAGTTACTTGCCAACCCCATTGTTGCAGGTGTGGGGTCAGAGGGTGTGGATGTTATAAAAAGAGCTCACTGTGGATCCTCAGCTTTACAAGTTCACTAGTACTTTATACAAATCCATGCCTCCCTAAACCCTAGCTAGCTTGGGGCATTCATGGTTTTTGCTATTACATTTGCCAGGATTAAAAATAATATTTGAGGCTGGGCGCGGTGGCTCAAGCCTGTAATCCCAGCACTTTGGGAGGCCGAGACGGGCGGATCACGAGGTCAGGAGATCGAGACCATCCTGGCTGACACCGTGAAACCCCGTTTCTACTTTAAAAATACAAAAAACTAGCCGGGCGAGGTGGCGGGCGCCTGTAGTCCCAGCTACTCGGGAGGCTGAGGCAGGAGAATGGCGTGAACCCGGGAGGCGGAGCTTGCAGTGAGCTGAGATCCGGCCACTGCACTCCAGCCTGGGCGGCAGAGCGAGACTCCGTCTCAAAAAAAAAAAAAAAAATAATAATAATAATAATATTTGATTAGCTGGGCATGGTGGTGTGCACCTGTAATCCCAGCTACTCGGGAGGCTGAAGCAAAGAATCGCATGAACTTGGGAGGTGGAGGTTGCAGTAAGCCAAGATCGTGCCACTGCACTCCAGTTTAGGCAACAGAGCCGAGACTCTGTCTCTAATGATAATAATAATAATAATTATTATTATTATTATTTTTGAGACTGGGTGCAGTGACTCACGCCTGTAATCCGAGCACTTTGGGAAGCTGAAGTGAGTGGATCATGAGGTTAGGAGTTTGAGACCAGCCTGGCCAACATGGTGAAACCCTATCTCTACTAAAAATACAAAAAATTAGCTGGGCGTGGTAGTGGGCGCCTGTAGTCCCAGCTACTCAGGAGGCTGAGGCAGAAGAATCACTTGAGCCTGGGAGGCGGAGGTTGCAGTGAGCTGAGATTGTGCCACTGCACTCCAGCCTGGCAAC